CGGGTGGAGGGGAGGAGATGAGGGTTTCAGGGGCCATCGGGGGGGTGGGCTGGGCCCCCGAGACCCGCCGGCGGCAGCGCCAACTCCGCTCGCACCTGCGGCTCAAACTTTTGTGAGGCGGCTCCCGGAGCGGCGGGAACCCGGCCGGAGCCGTCCCCCCTCCAGCCCAGCTCGGCCCTCGGCTTCCTGGGGCCCCCGTGGGCGCCAGGAGGCTCCACGGGAGCCGAGTGAGGGCTGGGGAGGGGGAGGCGGTGGAGAGCGTGCAGGCTGCTGGGCGCGGGGGCGGCCGGGCCGCGCCGGGGTCACTGGGGGCAAAGGACGGGGGAAGGGGGGAAGGGCGCGGGGCGCGGGCTGGTCCGAAGGCGGGTGTGTGGTTACAGAAGGGCTGCGCGAATACTTCGGCCAGTTCGGGGAGGTGAAGGAGTGTCTGGTGATGCGGGACCCCCTGACCAAGAGATCCAGGTGAGCCCCTCACCCCCTCCTCCTGCTGCTGGCTCGCCCCCCTCCACCGCCACTCACTGCCGTGTAACCATCTGCCTCTCCCTCACTACGGCGCGCAGGGGTTTCGGCTTCGTCACTTTCATGGACCAGGCGGGGGTGGATAAAGTACTGGCGCAATCGCGACACGAGCTCGACTCCAAAACAGTGAGTGGCCCTCAGGGCTTTGGGGGCCCTTCGGGAGAGGGAGGTCGCCGGAGGAGAGGGTCAGGACTTTCCCCAGAGGACAGTTGGATGGGATCCTGAAGGAAGGAGGGAGTTTTCTGAATAGAAGGTCTGCCACGCTCTGAAACTTTGTCGCTAGAGTTGAGGGGAGACCCAGCAGAAAAATCCCAGGCCTGCTATGAGGTGTTACATCCCCCAACCCCTCCGGTACTGGTGAGGGAAGACGCAGCCACCACCCTCTCCCAGTGCGTACTAATCTTGATGCCTCAAGGAGGAGCCTGGGGTGGAGCTAGGTCCCTTCCCGAGCCCAAATTGGGTGAGTCAGGGTTGCAGTGACCCATCCGTGGCTTCTCTGAACTCTAACTAGTATTTGGCTCCCCCCACCCACCCCATTCCAGACCAATGGCAAAGCTCATTGAATCCCCCTCCCTTCTGCCCTCCCTCCCTTGACTTTTGGTCAATGAGCTCCTTGCTTTGTGTGGAAGACATGAACCTGCTTTGCCCATGAAGGGATTTATGAGAAGGGAGCTAGCTTGCCTGGAAACAGCTCTTCCCGGCTAGATCCGAGGAGAAACTGCTTGTTTGGCATTCAAACTCCTGGAACATTTTGCTGCTGTCCCACTGCTCCCCAGTGTCTTGGGCCCTGCAGGGGGCGCTGGCCCAGGCCCCAGCTCAGGGGGAGAGGGGAAAGGAGAAAGCAGAGGAGGGGTTCCTTCGTGATGGGGTAACTGTCTGCCAGGGGGCCGGGACAGCGCGATCTCTCTCTACACTCCCCCACTCTCCTCCGGCCCGGCCCTGGGCCTCCCTGCTTGGGTCAGTCACTGGCTCCTGTTTACCTGCAACAATAGCTGGTTGTGCCCAAGAATTTGTCAAATTACCGCCTGTCCCCAGCTCCTGTTATCTCTGCCCAGTGGCTCCCACTCCTGCCCGCAGTGATGAATGAGCAAATGAGGCCAGGCCTCAACTTTGCCGGCTCTGAAAGGATCTTCTTGGCGCTGACTGAGTGACCCAAGCTGGGAATGGAAAGACAGTGGCCTATTGTTTTTGGTGATTATCTGCCATCAAGCTGCCTGTTCTCCTACCATCCCCTGTCCTCAGAATGCACCGATGGCTTCTGCAGCCCTCAGGAAGCCGAGATTTGGGGGCCGGGGGTCGGGGTGTGGGAGATTGATAAGGGGAAGAGAAGGGAGGGAGGAGGATGAGATGGGCATCCTTCTGAGATCTGGGATGTGAAAAGGGCAAGGGCTTTGTGTTTGGCGTTCCCCAGCCTGGGAAAGGGGGGGTGGAAGGGAGGCTTATTGTGGGGAGTCTATTTTGGGTTCTGACTTTCACCTTTTATTTACTTGTTGGGTTTTATTTATGTTGCCAGCTGTGAGTCAGAGTGGAGGTAGGGTGTGTCAGGGATTGGTGTGCGTGGGTCTGCAGGACATGGCTTTGGTACCACCTCCCCGTCAGGGTCTGAGCAGGGGAACTGTCTGAGGTGTGCTCTGGTGGCTTCCAGGAGAAACAGAAGGATGAACATGGCCACAGAGGTATGAACTCATGCCTTCAGACAGGGGAATGGGCAGCTCTATGAGCCCCTTGGGATTCTGGGAGAGAGGCGGCATTGTCCAGTGTAGATTTTGGACGTTCCTTCTCTGTGAGTGTTTTTCAGTAGGGGAGCCTGTAGGAGGCTGGTCCCTCATCTGTGCCATTCAGGCAGTGAGGAGCCAGAGCCCATTGCCTAGAAGGAGGCTGAGTTTTGAACCGAAGGAACTTTGGGAAAAGAGAGATCTTTCTGGCGATTGGCTGGTGAACTTCTGAGTGGTGTCCACTCATGTGAGTGGCCAGAAACTCTGAAATGCCCCGGCCTCATAGGTCCTGCATTGATCACAGTGTCTCATGCCCTGGCTTTTGCTGTTTGTCAGTACGAATTCAGTACCTGGGAGTACCCAGGTGCATCTTGCTTTTCCTCTCTGGTTGTTCACAGCCAAGGGCAAAGGTGGCCCACTGGTAATAGCACCTTTGTTTGTGCAGTGAAGGGCAGTTCACAAAGGAATGCTTTCACCTGCGTTATCTCATTTGATTCCCTACAGCTGCCCCTGGGAAAAGTGGGTGTTATCGTCCCCACTTTGCAGATGAGGGAACTGAGGCGCAGGCAAGTTACCAAGATCACAAGCTTAGCCAGGGGCTCCTAGTTTCTGAGTCCAAATCCTGTGCAAGTCACCAAAGCCTGTGCTCTGCTTAACCCCAGGCCTAGCTGCATTATCAGGGAACTGTTTGCTTGCAGCCTCCAGAAGGGCTGCTAGATGTCAACAGTATTGGGAAAACAGAACTGCATCTACTCTTGGTGGTTTATGCACTCTTATCTCGAAGCCTTTTTCAGGCAGAGTGTTTCCATTCACAAGGCTTCCGAAGTCTAGATTGCATGCCTCACCTGGGCAGGTATCTGTGTGACGTCAGGCACAGAGGCCCTGGATACACCTGGTGCTAGAAGGAATAACACTTGGCTTACTTTTTTGGGGTTCTTGCTGAGGGCTAGACACCAAGTGCTTTGTAAGCATTATCTCAGAAAATCTGCAGACACAGCACTGTAAACTGACTATACTTCAATTTACAAAAAAGTAAAAAAGAAAAAATCTGCAGACGACCCTTTGAGGTGGATGTTATTATTTGCCTGTTTTGTGGGTGAGCTCAAGCCTGAGGCTCAGAGAGGTTAAGTCATTTGTGCAGGATTTCATAGCTGGGAAGTAATGTAAATGGGATTTGAACCCAATAGCCTGGCTCTAGGGCCTAAAAGCTCAACTGTTACACTTTCCTGTCAGGGGCTGTGGCGGTTTCAGTCACCTCTGTGTCACCTCTGTATCCTGGGATGAGAAAGGTCCTCAGGTCTGCAGGCTGTGTGGTGTGGTCACCCATCTGAAGTGTGATAACCGAGGCCCCTCTACCTCTCTCTTCTCTTTTAGATTGATCCCAAGGTGGCCTTTCCCCGGCGAGCACAGCCTAAGGTAGGTGTGTCTGTGTCCGGGAGCAGCTTTGTACTGCCGGCAGTGATTTTCCCAGCATTCCCTTCTCTGGAAGATGCTTCTGCTTGGAGTGTTAATGGAATGGACTGGGATGGGGGAGGGAGGATTCTTTATGTCCTCGCTCTGTGGACTGCAGACACCATGCATTTTTCCAGCTGTGCTCTTGGGTGGACTAGTAAGAGGGGCTGCATGTGTTGTGGGAAGGAGGAACCCCTTAGGGGATTCATTGTCCTGTATTTGAAGCCAGTACACTTTGGATCTGAGTCGAATTCTGACCTCAGAGATCACAATCTCTCTGCCCAGCCCCTCTGGGGGTCAAACACAGACTTACCCCTGTGAGGCTGAGCTAGAGTCAGGCCAGGGAGCTACCCCTGACCCCCCCCCCAGGCTCCCCCCCACCTCTGAGGTCAGGTGTATTGAGCTTGCAGAGCAGGAAGGGACCCTGGAGTCTGTTACATGTTGTCTTGCAGCTTGGGTGAAGGTGGCTTCCCTCCCAAGTATTCTTTTTCCCTGGCACTGTGGCGAGTTTTTCTGGGTGTACCAAAAACAGATTTCTGAGCAGTTGAGGTATACAGAATTCAAAACTTTTGGTGCAGGACAGGGGCCTAAGAGTTTATTCCAGGCCCCAGGACTACTAGCCACATCTTTATGTTTAAGCAGTCAAAAACAGGAGACAGGTG